CCGATCTAGGGTTGGGGGTCCCGGGGGTCCCGGTACTGATCAGAGGCAGGGTTGGGGTCAGGGTTGGGGGTCCCGGGGGTCCCGGTACCGGTCACAGGCAGGGTGGGGTCAGGGTTGGGGGTCCCGGGGGTCCCGGGGGTCCCGGTACCGGTCGTAGGCCGAGTATCCGTTCTGCTGCAGGAAGTCGTCCTTGAGCAGTTTGGCCACTTCCAGCGTCACCTTGTCACCCTCGGCCAGCGACGCCTGCGGGGACAGCGGGGTGCTGGCACTGCCGGGACCCCCCAGAGCCCCGGCGCCACGCCAAACCCCACAAACCACACTGATCCCAGAGATCCCAGAGATCCCAGAGATCCCATCAGTGCCACAAACCCCACAAATCCACCCTGCCACGAGCTGCAGGGTCTCAGCCAGCTCCTGCTGCAGGGTCCCACATTCCAGACCCCACAAACCCCACAGACCCAATATCCCACACCCCATATCCCACATCCCACACCCCATATCTCACATCCCAGACCCCACAAATTCCATAAATCCCAGACCTTCCCCACGAGCTGCACGATCTCGGCCAGCTCCTCCTTCTCCTGCGGGGTCCCAGACCCCACATCCCCAATATCCCACACCCCATATCCCACATCCCACACCCCATATCCCACATCCCACACCCCATATCTCACATCCCAGACCCCACAAATTCCATAAATCCCAGACCTTCCCCACGAGCTGCACGATCTCGGCCAGCTCCTCCTTCTCCTGCGGGGTCCCAGACCCCACATCCCACACCCCATATCTCACCTCCCACACTCCATATCCCACATCCTACACCCCATATCCTACATCCCTGACTCCACAGACCCCACAGACACCCAGAGACCCCACAAATCCCAGACCTTCCCCACGAGCTGCAGAGGGTTGGGGGTCCCCTCCTGCAAGGTCCCACATTCCATATCCCACATTGCAGACCCCACAGACCCCACAGACACCCAGAGACCCCACAAATCCCAGACCTTCCCCACAAGCTGCACAATCTCAGCCAGCTCCTCCTGCAAGGTCCCACATTCCATATCCCACATTGCAGACCCCACAGACCCCACACGCCAACCTCACATCCCACACCCTGTATCTCACATCCCCGACCCCACAGACCTCACAGACCCCACAGACCCCATAAATCCCAGACCTTCCCCACGAGCTGCACGATCTCGGCCAGCTCCTCCTCCTCCTGCAGGGTCCCAGACCCCACATCCCACACCCCGTATCTCACATCCCAGACCCCAAAAACCCCACAGACCCCATATTCCAGACCCCATATCTCACATCCCACACCCTGTATCTCACATCCCTGACCCCACAGACCCCACAAATCCCATAAAGGCACCTTCCCCACGAGCTGCACGATCTCGGCAGCTCCTCCTCCTCCTCCTGCAGGGTCCCAGACCCCACATCCCACCCCCCGTATCTCACATCCCATATCCCACATCCCCGACCCCACAGACCCCACAGACCCCCAGAGACCCCACAAATCCCAGACCTTCCCCACGAGCTGCACGATCTCGGCCAGCTCCTCCTCCTCCTGCAGGATGCGCCGGGCGCGGTCGCGCAGCGCGGGCAGCTCGGGGTGGGCGCGCTCGTAGTGCGGCTCGAGGGCGCGCAGGTAGCGCGAGTACGAGATCAGCCAGTTCACCGACGGGAAGTGCTTGCGCTGCGCCAGCTTCTTGTCCAGCCCCCAGAACACCTGCGGTGCCACCCGCTGTCACCCGGTGTCACCCCGGGTCGGGAATGTCACCCCCGGGTCACCCATCCTGTCCCCGAGCTTCTTATCCTCACGGAATACCCAGCACTGTCACCCCCGTGTCACCCCGAGGTCACCCAGCGTCTTTTGTCCAGCCCCCAGAACACCTCGAGTGTCACCCAGTGTCACCCCGTGTCACCCAGTGTCACCCAGTGTCACCCCCGGGTCACTCAGGGCATCCCCGAGCTCTTTATTCCCACAGAATACCCGACAGTGCCACCCCTGTGTCACCTGTGTGTCACCCCGTGTGTCCCTGTGCTTCTTGTGCAGCCCCCAGAACACCTGGGAGTGTCACGGGGCTGCCCAGGCACCGCGCCCGCCCCGCGCGCTCGTAGAACGAGGCCAGGCGGGCACCGAGGTACGCGGGGTACCCGCTGTCTGCGGGGGGACACGGCTGTCACCTCCTGTCACCTCCTGTCACTGCCCTGTCACTGCCCTGTCACCCCCTGTCACCCCCGGGACCCGCTGTCTGCGGGGGGACAGGGCTGTCACCTCCTGTCACCTCCTGTCACCTCAATGTCACTGCCCTGTCACCCCCGGTACCCGCTGTCTGTGGGGACACGGCTGTCACCTCAATGTCACCTCACTGTCACCTCCCTGTCACTGCCCTGTCACCCTCTGTCACCCCGAGTTTTTTGGGGTCTGTCTCCCTTGTGCCCACCCCCCCCACCCCGGGGTTTTTGGGGTCTCTCCCCCCTGGGTTTTTGGGGTCCCTCCCCCCGGGTTTTTGGGGTCTCTCCCCCCAGGTTTTGGGGTCTCCCCCCGGGTTTTGAGGTCTCTCCACGGGGTTTTTGGGGTCTCTCTCCCCGGGGTTTTTGGGGTCTCCCCCCGGGGTTTTTGGGGTCTCTCCCCGGGTTTTGGGGTCTCCCCCCGGGTTTTGGGGTCTCTCCCCCAGGTTTTGGGGTCTCACCCGCCGGCATCTCGGCCAGGCGCCCCGAGATCTCGCGCAGCGCCTCGGCCCAGCGCGAGGTGGAGTCGGCCAGGAGGCAGCTGTGCAGCCCCATGTCCCGGAAATACTCGGCCAGCGTGATCCCTGCACGCGTGTCACACGTGTGTCACACGTGTGTCACACGTGTCACACACCCGGCACACCCCCAGGGACAGCGTGATCCCTGTCACACGTGTGTGTCATACATGTCACACACCTGACACGCACCCAGGGACAGCCCCAGCCCTGTCCCACACACGTGTCCCTGTCACACACACATGTCCCCCCGTGTCCCTGTGTCCCCACCGGTGTAGATGGAGGCCTCGCGGGCGGCCACCGGCATGTTGGACGTGTTGGCCACCAGCGTCGTGCGCTTCATGATGGACTCGGAGCGGCCGCCCACCTCCATGGTCAGCTGGGGACACCGGCGCCACATTGTCACCGCCTGTCACCTCCCTGTGTCACCGCCTGTCACCTCCCTGTGTCACCCCTGTCACCCCTGCGTCACCACGGGACAGCCCTGCCACCCCCATGTCCCACCATGTCCCGTGTCCCCATGTCACCTCGGAGAAGTCCCTGAGGACTCTCCATGAACACCTGTGTCACTGTCACTTCACCTCCCTGTGTCAGTCACAGTGCCACCTCTGTGTGCCAGTGCCATCCCAATGTCCCCTCATGTCCCCGTGTCCCACCGTGTCCCAGTGCCACGCCCTCTCCCAGTGCCACCCCGATGTCTAGTGTCCCCATGTCACCTCGGAGAAGTCCCTGAGGACCCTCCATGAACTCCCGTGTCACTGTCACTGCCCTGCCACCCCCGTGTCACAGTGCCACCTCTGTGTGCCAGTGCCATCCCAATGTCCCCTCATGTCCCCGTGTCCCACCGTGTCCCAGTGCCACGCCCTCTCCCAGTGCCACCCCGATGTCCTCCCGTGTCCCAGTGCCACTCCGATGTCCCACCATGTCCCGTGTCCCCATGTCACCTTGGGAAAATCCCTGAGGACTCTCCATGAACACCCGTGTCACTGCCACCCCCCTGCCACCCCGATGTCCCTCCTGTGTCCCGCCATCTCCCAGTGCCACCCCGATGTCTAGTGTCCCCATGTCACCTCGGGGAAGTCCCTGATGACCCTCCATGGACACCCGTGTCACTGCCACCCCCCTGCCACCCCCATGCCGCAGTGGCACGCCCTCTCCCGGTGCCACCCCGCTGTCCCCGGTGTCCCGGTGTGCCGGTGGCCGGCGTGGCGCTGTCACCTCGGGGAAGTCCCGCAGCACCTCGGACATTTCGTTGCCGCGCTCCCCGCAGCCCACGTAGACGATGACGTCGCTGTTGGAGTACTTGGACAGGGACTGGGAAATCACCGTCTTCCCGCAGCCGAACGCGCCCGGGATGGCCGTGGTGCCCCCCTGCACGCACCTGGCGACACGGCGACACGCCGCGGCGGTGGTGGCACCGCGGCGACACCCCGCGCCTGTCCCCGTGGCCGTCCCCACCCCCGTCCCTGCGCCAGCACCGTCCTGTCGCTGCTTGCCGCTCCCCATCCCTGTCCCCAAATCCAGCTCTGCTTGTCCCCAAATCCATTGCTCCCTGCCCCCAAATCTATCGCTCCCTGTCCCCATCCCTGTCCCCAAATCCAGCTCTCCCTGTCCTCATTCCTGTCCCCAAATCCAGCTGTCCCTGTCCCCAAATCGCTCCCTGTCTCCATCCCTGTCCCCAAATCCATCTCTCCCTGTCCCCATTCCCTGTCCTGAGCTCTGTCTTTCCTTGTCCCCAGTCCCATCCCTGTCCCTGTCCTTGTCCCCATCCCTGTCCCAACCAATCCCGTTCCCTACAGGAACAGCGCACCCCCCGCTCAGTCCCGATCCCGAGCCCGATCCCGATCCCGGTCCCTGTCCCAGTCCCGATCCCAGTCCCGGTGCTGGTGCCGGTGCCTACGGGAAGAGCGCGTCCAGGACCCTCTGGCCGGTCAGCAGGGGGTGATTGGCCGGGAGCTTCTCGGCCACGGGCCGGACCTGCCGGACCGGCCACACCTGGATCATGGAGAGCGGCTCGCGGACCCCCTGGAACTCCAGCTCCAGCACCACGTCCTGCGGGATCGGCCGGGATCAGCCCGGGACCGGCCCGGGATCAACCCGGGATCAGCCCAGGACCAGCCCGGGACTGACCCGGGATCAGCCGGGGATCAGCTGGAGTTAGCCGGGATCAACCCGGGACCGGCCCGGGATCAGTCTGGGATCAACCCGGGACCAGGCGGGATTAGCCAGGATCTATCCGGGATCAGCCTGAGTTAGCCCGGATCAGCCCGGGACCGGCCCGGGATTAGCAGGGATCGACCGGGATCGACCCGGGATCAGCCCGAGACACCCCACACAGCCCCCACCCCCCCTATCCCGATCCCAATCCCGCTAATCCCGACCCCACTCCCACGGATCCCGATGGTCCTGGTCCCGGTCCCGCTGATCCCAATGATCCCGGTACCGGTCCCGCTGATCCCAATTATCCCTATCCCGCTCCCGGTGATCCCAATGATCCCGGTCCCTCTGATCCCAATCCCGCTAATCCGGTTGATCCCGATCCCGACCCCGCTGAACCCAATGATCCCGACGGCAATCCCGCCGGTCCCGGTGCCGGTGCCGGTGCCGGTCCCGGTGCCGGTCCCGGTGCCGGTGCCGCTCACCGCCGCGCCGTAGTGCCCGGGGGGCGCGATGTAGGTGACGGTGCCGCGGCTGCGGGGCGGGACCATCAGCCGGTGCTGCAGCAGCGAGTTCTCCGCCCCCGAGCCGTAAATGTCCCCGCCCGTCACGTGGCTCCCGACCTGGGGACACGGCGGTGACACCGTCAGCGACCCCCGGGGGTCCCCTGTGTCCCTCCTGTGCCCCTCGTGTGACCCGTGTCCCCATGTCCCTGCATCCTGCCACTGTGTCCCCCAATGTCCCTGTAAACCCCGTGTCCCGATGTCCCCTGTGTCTCTGTGTCCCCCCATGTCCCCACGGCTCTGTGACCCCCGTGTCCCTGAGTCCCCCATGTCCCTGTGTCCTGTCGGTGGTGGGGGGACAGGGCAGGGCGGGGGGGACAGGGAGGGGACAGGGAGGGGCGGGACAGAGGGGACAGGGCAAGGCAGAAGGGAGCGACAAGGGAGGGGACAGGACGGGGGAACAGGGAGGGGACAGAGCAGGCCGGGACAGGACACAGGCTCAGGGGAAGACGGGAGGGGAAAGCGAAGGACGGCGGGGACAGGGCGGGGCGGCCGGAGGGACAGCGCGGTGGCGGGGAGGGGACAGCGGGGACAGGATACAGGTCTCCTCGTACACCTGGAGCGTGGCCATGTCCCCCTCGAGCCGGATGATCTCCCCCACGAGCTCCGCGTGTCCCACCCGCACCAGCTCGTACATGGCCGCCCCCGCCATGCGCGTGGCTGTCACCACTGCGGGGACACGCCGCTGCCACCCGGGCCACCACCGCACAGGGGACCCCCGTGTTCCCCAGCCCAGCCCCGGGGTCCCCATCCCTGTCCCCTCCCCTGTCACCACTGCGGGGACACGCCGCTGCCACCCGGGCCACCACCGCACAGGGGACCCCCGTGTTCCCCAGCCCAGCCCCGGGGTCCCCATCCCTGTCCCCTCCCCTGTCACCACTGCGGGGACACGCCGCTGGCACCCCGGCGCGGGGCCACCACCCCCCGACATCCCGCCTTGTCACCGGGCCAGCCCCGGGGTCACCACCCCACCCGGGACCCCGCTGTCCCCATCGCTGTCCCCTCCCCACGGCCACCCGCGGGTGCTTTCCCACGCTGTCCCCTCACCATTGTCCCCTCCCCATTGTCCCCTCTCCTGTCCCCGTTTCAGTGCCACAAACGCCACCGGGATCCCCATTCCCGGCTGTCCCCCTGTCCCCGGGGTGTCCCACGATGTCCCCTCCCATTGTCCCCTCTCCATTTTTCCCTCCCCCAGTGCCGGACAGGGCAGGGCGGGGGTGACAGGGAGGGGACAGGGAGGGGACGGGGAGGGGACAGGAAGGAGGGACAAGGGAGGGGACAGAGCAGGCTGGGACAGGACACAGGCTCAGGGGAAGAAGGGAGGGGACAGCGAAGGACGGCGGGGACAGGGCGGGGCGGCCGGAGGGACAGCGCGGTGGCGGGGAGGGGACAGCGGGGACAGGATACAGGTCTCCTCGTACACCTGGAGCGTGGCCATGTCCCCCTCGAGCCGGATGATCTCCCCCACGAGCTCCGCGTGTCCCACCCGCACCAGCTCGTACATGGCCGCCCCCGCCATGCGCGTGGCTGTCACCACTGCGGGGACACGCCGCTGCCACCCGGGCCACCACCGCACAGGGGACCCCCGTGTTCCCCAGCCCAGCCCCGGGGTCCCCATCCCTGTCCCCTCCCCTGTCACCACTGCGGGGACACGCCGCTGGCACCCCGGCGCGGGGCCACCACCCCCCGACATCCCGCCTTGTCACCGGGCCAGCCCCGGGGTCACCACCCCACCCGGGACCCCGCTGTCCCCATCGCTGTCCCCTCCCCACGGCCACCCGCGGGTGCTTTCCCACGCTGTCCCCTCACCATTGTCCCCTCCCCATTGTCCCCTCTCCTGTCCCCGTTTCAGTGCCACAAACGCCACCGGGATCCCCATTCCCGGCTGTCCCCCTGTCCCCGGGGTCCCGAACGACGGCGCGGGGCCACCACCCCTCTCCATTTTTCCCTCCCCCAGTGCCCCCCTCCTGTCCCCATTGTCCCCCCTTCATTGTCCCCTCTCCTGTCCCCATTTTAGCGCCACAAACGCCACCGGGTCCCCATCCCCGGGCTGTCCCCAGGTGTCCCAGTGTCGCCGTACCGGGCCCGGACACGCCATGCACGGCCCCCACCAGGCTCTCGCGCTCCTCCAGCCGCGTCCCCCGTGTCCCCTCCATGCTGTCCCCTCCCCGCCGCGCTGCCACCGCCGTTAAATGGCCCCGGGCGCCGGCGACAACCGGACAGGGCCACCGCGGGTGTGGCACCGCGCGCGGCCAACGGCGGCGTCCCCACCCCCGGGGACACCGCGGGGACAGCGGGGCGACACCGGCTGGCTCCGGTGGCAGGGCCAGCGCGGGTGTGGCACTGTGTGCAGTCAACAGCTGCCGCGGGTGACACCGGGGGACACCGGCACGGCCCGGCTCGGTGTCACCCACGGTGGCAGCGGGTGTCCTTGTCACCTCCCTGCCGTGTGGACAGGGCAGGGCGGGGGTGACAGGGAGGGGACAGGGAGGGGACGGGGAGGGGACAGGAAGGAGGGACAAGGGAGGGGACAGAGCAGGCTGGGACAGGACACAGGCTCAGGGGAAGAAGGGAGGGGACAGCGAAGGACGGCGGGGACAGGGCGGGGCGGCCGGAGGGACAGCGCGGTGGCGGGGAGGGGACAGCGGGGACAGGATACAGGTCTCCTCGTACACCTGGAGCGTGGCCATGTCCCCCTCGAGCCGGATGATCTCCCCCACGAGCTCCGCGTGTCCCACCCGCACCAGCTCGTACATGGCCGCCCCCGCCATGCGCGTGGCTGTCACCACTGCGGGGACACGCCGCTGCCACCCGGGCCACCACCGCACAGGGGACCCCCGTGTTCCCCAGCCCAGCCCCGGGGTCCCCATCCCTGTCCCCTCCCCTGTCACCACTGCGGGGACACGCCGCTGGCACCCCGGCGCGGGGCCACCACCCCCCGACATCCCGCCTTGTCACCGGGCCAGCCCCGGGGTCACCACCCCACCCGGGACCCCGCTGTCCCCATCGCTGTCCCCTCCCCACGGCCACCCGCGGGTGCTTTCCCACGCTGTCCCCTCACCATTGTCCCCTCCCCATTGTCCCCTCTCCTGTCCCCGTTTCAGTGCCACAAACGCCACCGGGATCCCCATTCCCGGCTGTCCCCCTGTCCCCGGGGTGTCCCACGATGTCCCCTCCCATTGTCCCCCCTCCTGTCCCCATTGTCCCCCCTTCATTGTCCCCTCTCCTGTCCCCATTTTAGCGTCACAAACGGCACCGGGTCCCCATCCCCGGTTGTCCCCGTCCCCAGGGTGTCCCACGATGTCCCCTCCTGTTCCCAACTCTGTCCCCTCCCTTTTCCCCCTCATTGTCCCCTCCCCTGTCCCTCTGTCCCCATTAGCGCCACAAACGGCACCGGGTCCCCATCCCCGGCTGTCCCCGCGGTGTCCCCGGGCTGTCCCCAGGTGTCCCAGTGTCGCCGTACCGGGCCCGGACACGCCATGCACGGCCCCCACCAGGCTCTCGCGCTCCTCCAGCCGCGTCCCCCGTGTCCCCTCCATGCTGTCCCCTCCCCGCCGCGCTGCCACCGCCGTTAAATGGCCCCGGGCGCCGGCGACAACCGGACAGGGCCACCGCGGGTGTGGCACCGCGCGCGGCCAACGGCGGCGTCCCCACCCCCGGGGACACCGCGGGGACAGCGGGGCGACACCGGCTGGCTCCGGTGGCAGGGCCAGCGCGGGTGTGGCACTGTGTGCAGTCAACAGCTGCCGCGGGTGACACCGGGGGACACCGGCACGGCCCGGCTCGGTGTCACCCACGGTGGCAGCGGGTGTCCTTGTCACCTCCCTGCCGTGTCCTTGGCACCACTTTCTCTTTGTCACCGCCACGGCCTTGTCACCCCTTCTTTTGTCACTCTCGTGGCCTTGTCACCTCCCTGCTGTGTCCTTGTCACCCCCTTCTGTCACTCCCACATCCTTGTCACCCCCTTCTCTTTGTCACCCCCCCATGTCCTTGTCACCCCCATGTCCCTGTCACCCCCATGTCCCCGTCACCTCCTTCTCTTTGTCACCCCCCCATGTCCTTGTCACCCCCTCGTCCCTGTCACCCCCATGTCCTTGTCACCCCTTTCTCTTTGTCACCCCCCCATGTCCTTGTCACCTCCTCATCCTTGTCACCCCCATGTCCTTGTCACCCCCTCATCCCTGTCACCTCCTTCTCTTTGTCACTCCTTTCCCTTTGTCACCTCTGTGACCTTGAAGTGTCACCAGCACAATTTCGGGTCCCCCCTGACACCCCCCTAATTTCGGGTTGCCACCCCCATTTTTGGAGTCCCCTTTTTACCCCATTTTTGGGGTCCCCTCTCCTCATTTTTGGGTTCCCACCCCCACTTTTGGGGTCCCTTTTCCCCCCCATTTTTTCCCCATTTTGGGTTCTCACTCCCATTTTGGGGTCCCCTTTCCCCCCCATTTTTGGGGTTCCTTTTTCCCCCATTTTTGGGGTCCCCTCTCCTCATTTTTGGGTTCCCACTCCCATTTTTGGGGTCTCCTTTTTCCCCCCATTTTGGGGTCTCACCCCCATTTTTGGGATCCCTTTTTCCCCATTTTGGGGTCCCACCCTCCATTTTTAGGGTCCCCCTTGGCACCCCCCACATTTGGGGTCTCCCCCTTTCCCCCCTCCCCTCGCCCCAAACCCTTTCCCCCCTTTTCCCACAAAAACCAACCCTGGCATTGTCCCAAACTCACGTTTATTACCCAAAACCCCCCAAAACGACCCCAAATCCCCCTGGGAATTTTTTTTTGGGGGGGGTCAGGACACCAGGACCCCCCCGGGGCCCCCCTTGCCCCCCTCGGGGCCGTCCCTGGGCGTGGATTTGGGGTCGTCCTCCCCCACCAGGCGGATGTTGTGGCGTTCCCGAAATTCCGAGAGCTCCCGGCCCTTGGCCTGCAGCTGCTGCGCCAGAGCCTCGATCAGCTTGGAGATCTGGGGCGAAAAACGGGGAAAATGGGAAAAAAATGGCAATTATAGGAATTATGGGAATTGGGGAAAAGAGAGAGACTTGGTTAGAGTGGAGATCTGGGGCGAAAAATGGGGAAAATGGGAAAAACGGGAATTATGGGAATTGGGGGAAAGAGAGAGACTCGGTCAGCTTGGAGATCTGGGGGGAAAAACGGGGAAAATGGGAAAAACGGGAATTGGGGAAAAGAGAGAGACTCGGTTAGAGTGGAGATCTGGGGGGAAAAAGGGGGAAAATGGGAAAAACGGGAATTACGGGAATTGGGGGAAAGAGAGAGACTCGGTTAGAGTGGAGATCTGGGGAGAAAAACGGGGAAAATGGGAAATAGTGGAAAAGCAGGAAAAGACAGAGACTTGATTAGGTTGGAAATCTAAGGGGAAAATAATGGAGCGAACATGAGAAAAAAGAGAAAAAGGAGAGGAAAAAAAAGGGGAAAATGGCCTGAGGTTTTTTATTGGGGTGGTCCCAGCAGATTTTTTGGGCTCCCCATTGGATGTTTATGGGATCCTACTGGATTTTGGGATATCCCACTGGATTTTGAGATACCCTATTGGGTTTTTATGGGATCTCATTGGATTTGGGTCTATCCCAGCAGATTTTAGAATACTCTGTAAAATGTTTAAAGGATTCCTTTGGGTTTGGGGCTGTCCCAGTGGATTTTTAAGGGATCCCAATAGGTTTAGGGCTATCGCACTGGGTTTTTATGGGATCCCAGTGGGATTTTGGGCGAGACTTGATTAGGTTGGAAATCTAAGGGGAAAATAATGGAGCGAACATGAGAAAAAAGAGAAAAAGGAGAGGAAAAAAAAGGGGAAAATGGCCTGAGGTTTTTTATTGGGGTGGTCCCAGCAGATTTTTTGGGCTCCCCATTGGATGTTTATGGGATCCTACTGGATTTTGGGATATCCCACTGGATTTTGAGATACCCTATTGGGTTTTTATGGGATCTCATTGGATTTGGGTCTATCCCAGCAGATTTTAGAATACTCTGTAAAATGTTTAAAGGATTCCTTTGGGTTTGGGGCTGTCCCAGTGGATTTTTAAGGGATCCCAGTAGGTTTAGGGCTATCCCACTGGATTTTTATGGGATCCCATTGTGTTTTCATGGCATCCCAGTGGGTTTAGAGCTATCCCATTGTGTTTTTATGGGATCCCATTGTGTTTTTATGGGATCCCATTGGGTTTTTATGGGATCCCATTGGGTTTTTATGGGATCCCATTGGGTTTAGAGCCATCCCATTGTGTTTTCATGGGATCCCATTGTGTTTTTATGGGATCCCATTGGGTTTTTATGGGATCCCATTGGGTTTAGAGGGATCCCATTGTGTTTTTATGGGATCCCATTGGGTTTTTATGGGATCCCATTGGGTTTTTATGGGATCCCATTGGGTTTAGAGCCATCCCATTGTGTTTTCATGGGATCCCAGTGTGTGTAGGGCCATCCCAGTGTGTTTAGGGCCATCCCATTGTGTTTTTCTGGGATCCCATTGGGATTTTGGGTTCTCCACTGTGTTTTTATGTGATCCCATTGTGTTCTTATGGAATCCCATTGTGTTTTTCTGGGATCCCATTGGGATTTTGGGTTCCCCATTGGGCTTTTAAGGAATCCCAGTGGGTTTAGGGCTATCCCACTGGGTTTTTACGGGATCCCAGTGGGTTTAGAGGCATCCCATTGTGTTTTCATGGGATCCCATTGTGTTTAGGGCCATCCCATTGTGTTTAGGGCCATCCCACTGGGTTTTTATGGGATCCCATTGGGTTTTTATGGGATCCCATTGGGTTTAGGGCCATCCCATTGGGTTTTTATGGGATCCCATTAGGTTTTTATGGGATCCCATTGTGTTTTTATGGGATCATATTGGGTTTTTATGGGATCCAATTGTGTTTAGGGCCATCCCATTGGGTTTTTATGGGATCCCATTGTGTTTTTATGGGATCCCATTGAGTTTAATGCCATCCCATTGTGTTTTTATGGGATCCCAGTGAGGTTTTTCTGGGATCCCATTGGGATTTTGGGTTCCCCATTGTGTTTTTATGGGATCCCATTGTGTTCTTATGGGATCCCATTGGGTTTAGAACCATCCCATTGTGGTTTTCTGCGATCCCAGTGGGTTTAGGGCCATCCCATTGGGTTTTTATGGGATCCCATTGGGTTTTTATGTGATCCCATTGTGTTTAGGGCCACCCCATTAGATTTTCACAGGACCCCAGTGTGGGTTTGGGTCCCAGACCTGCTCCCTGTTGCTCTCCAGGGCGGGCAGCACCTCCTTGACCGTCCTCTCCACCAGCACGCCGCCGACCATGCGGAAACACTTCCGGGTGGGATCCACCTCCCGCAGCGTCTCGATCACCAGCCTGGGGGTCAGCACCCAAACCACCCCGGATAGACCCCAGATCCACCCCAAAAATACCCCAAATCCCCGGCCCAAATCCACCCCAAAACACCTCAGATATACCCCAAATCTCTGGCCCAAATCCCTGTCCCAAAACACCCCAAACATATCCCAAATCCCCGGCCCAAATCTGTCCCAAATCCACCCCAAATATACCCCAAATCCCCGCCCCAAAAGACCCCAGATATACCCCAAATCCCTGGCCCAAATCCACCCCAAATAAATCCCAAATCCCTGTCCCAAACCCACCCCGAATAAACCCCAAATCCCTGTCCCAAATCCACGCCAAATACACCCCAAATCCTCGGCCCAAATCCGCCCCAAATAAATCTCAAATCCGTGTCCCCAACCCACCCCGAATAAACCCCAAATCCCTGTCCCAAATATACCCCAAATAAATCCCAAATCTCTGCCCCAAATATATCCCAAATCTCCCCTAAATAGACTGCAAACCTCTCTTAACTGGGAGCCACTGGGGGGGCTGGGATGGGACTGGGAATAGGACTGGGAATGGGAATGGGACTGGGAGTGACTGGGATGGACTGAAAATGGACTGGGATTGACTGGGACGCCTCCCCATGCCCTCCCCTCACTCCTCTGCCCCCCCGGGGCCCCTCCCGGGTTCCCGGTCGGCCCTGACCTGCTCGGCGCTCAGCCCCTTCCCCGCCGGGGCCGCCCCTCGCCCCTTCCCCGGCTCCGCCATCTTGTCCCGCGCGCCTCCGCCTCTTCCGCTCCGTCCCGCCGTCACTTCCGGCCGCCATCTTGGGTGCGTTGGGGGGTGGTTGGGGCAGTTCTGAGGGGGTTGGGGGCAGTTTGGGGAGTGTTTGGGGCAGTTCTGAGGGGGTTTGGGTCAATTTTGAGGGGGTCTGGGGTAGTTTTGGTGAGGTTTGGGGTGTGTTTGGGGCAGTTTAGAGGGATCTAGGGCAGTTTTGGGAGGTGTTTGGGGTAGTTTTGAGGGTGTTTGGGGCAGTTTGGGGGTGTCTGGGGCAGTTTTGAGGTAGTTTAAGGGGTGTTTGGGGGGGTCTGGGGTACTTTTGAGGGACTTTGGGGCAGTTTGGGGGGGTCTGGCAGCAGGCCCTGACCTGCTCGGCGCTCAGCCCCTTCCCCGCCGGGGCCGCCCCTCGCCCCTTCCCCGGCTCCGCCATCTTGTCCCGCGCGCCTCCGCCTCTTCCGCTCCGTCCCGCCGTCACTTCCGGCCGCCATCTTGGGTGCGGGTGAGGCGGCGGCGGCGCCATCTTGGGTGAGGGCAGCGCCTGAGGGGGGGACTTTGGCCGCGCTGCCGCCGGCGGGGAATGTGCGGGAATGGGGCGAGGTTTTGGGGGGCTGGGGCACTTTGGGATCAACACTGGGGCAGCTGGGGGGGAGCTGAGGACATTTGTGGGGTTCAGGGGCAGTTTGGGGTCACACCTGGGGCAGTTTGGGAGTTATGGGGCAGTTTTGGGGGGGGGTTCCAGCCATGTCACCCCCTCCCCAATTCGGGGTGTCCCCCCCCAGGCTGAGGGTGGCCCCCCGGGCCCTGCTGTGCTGCCCCCCGAGAGCCTCGAGAGCCCCCCACAGCTCCAGCACCGCGGGCAGGTACGGGGGGACCCCAAAAACCTGCAGTTTGGGGTCACACCTGGGGCAGTTTGGGGGTTCAGGGGCAGTTTTGGGGGGGGGTTCCAGCCATGTCACCCCCTCCCCAATTCGGGGTGTCCCCCCCCAGGCTGAGGGTGGCCCCCCGGGCCCTGCTGTGCTGCCCCCCGAGAGCCTCGAGAGCCCCCCAGAGCTCCAGCACCACGGGCAGGTACGGGGGGACCCCAAAAACACCCCAAAAACCCTGTGGAGAACCCCAAAAACCCCATGGGAACCCTAAAAACCCCATAGAAAACCCCACGGGGGACCTCAAAAAGCTCAGAGGGGGCTGAGGGTGACCCTGGGGGTGGCCCCAGGTGGGTGGGAGAGGTTCAAGAGTGACCCTGCTCCCCTTTTGGGTCACCTGGGGGTGTCCCTGTCCCCAAGGGGGTGACCCCAGTCCCCGTGAGGTGCCCTTGGTGTCCCCTCCCCACAGCCCCGTGGCCATGGCAGTGTCCTCGTGTCACTGTGAGGTCCCCTCAGTGTCCCCTCCCTGCAGCCATGGCGGTGTCCCCAGGCCCATTGGTGTCCCCCTGTCCCTCCAAGTCCCTTCAGTGTCCCCTCCCCGCAGCCCCGTGGCCATGGCAGCGCCCCCAGACCCATTGGTGTCCCCAGACCGATTGGTGTCCCCTGTCCCTCTGAGGTCCCCTCAGTGTCCCATGGCCATGGCGGTGTCCCCAGGCCCGTCAGTGTCCCCCTGTCCCTCCGAGTCCCTCACGGTGTCCCCTCCTTGGCCATGGCAGTGTCCCCAGCCCCTGCAGTGTCCCCAGACCCAGCAATGTCCCCCAGTCCCTCACGGTGTCCCCTCCCTGCAGCCCTGTGGCCATGGCATTGCCCCCAGCCCCCTCAGTGTCCCCCAGTCCCTCACGGTGTCCCCTCCCCACAGCCCCCCAGCCATGGCAGTGCCCCCAGATGCTGTAGTGTCCCTCTGTCCCTCTGAGTCCCCATGGTGTCCCCAGGTTGATCAGTGTCCCCCAGTCCCCCACGGAGTCCCCAGACCCATTGGTGTCCTCAGCTCCCTCAGTGTCCCCCAGTCTCTCACAAGTGTCCCCAGGCCCTCGCGGTGCCCCCAGCCCCCTCAGTGTCCCCCAGTCCCTCACAGTGTCCCCAGTCCCTCACGGTGTCCCCAGGCCCATCGGTGTCCCCTGGTCCCTCACGGTGTCCCCTCCCCGCAGCCCTGTGGCCATGGCAGCCCCCCCAGCCCCCGCGGTGTCCCCAGGCCCCCCGGGCGGGCTGGTGGCGGTGGCGCAGGTGACGAGCACGGCGGACAAGGAGCACAACTGGCGGCAGTGCTCGGCGCTGGTGCGGCGCGCGGCGGCCGCGGGGGCCCGCGCCGTGTTCCTGCCCGAGGCCTTCGACTTCATCGGGGACAGTCCCCAGCACAGCCTGGCGCTGGCAGAGCCCCTGCACGGGGACACCGTGCGGCGCTACCGCCAGCTGGCCAGGTACGGGCACCGCGGGCACCGCGTCGCCGGGGTGGCAGCGTGGGCACCAGGGGATGGCACTGTGTGCCACCAGGGGTGGCACTGTGTGTACCCAGGGGTGGCATCGTGTGTACCCAGGGACGGCACCGTGTGTCACCAGGGGTGGCACCGTGTGTACCCAGGGGATGGCACTGTGTGTCACCAGGGGATGTCACTGTGTGTACCCAGGGGTGGCACCGTGTGTACCCAGGGGATGGCACCGTGTGTCACCAGGGGATGGCACCGTGTGTCCCCAGGGGATGGCACTGTGTGTCACCAGGGGATGGCACCGTGTGTACCCAGGGGATGGCACTGTGTGTCACCAGGGGTGGCATAGTGTGTACCCAGGGATGGCAGCGTGTGTCACCAGGGGTGGCACCGTGTGTACCCAGGGGATGGCACTGTGTGTCACCAGGGGATGTCACTGTGTGTACCCAGGGGTGGCACCGTGTGTACCCAGGGGATGGCACTGTGTGTCACCAGGGGTGGCACCGTGTGTCATGAGGGGATGTCACTGTGTGTCCCCAGGAGTGTCACAGTGTGTCATCAGGGATTGTCAGTGTGTGTCACCAGGGATGGCACCGTGTGTCACCAGGGGTGGCACTGTGGTTACCAGGGGTGTCGCTGTGTGTACCCAGGGGATGGCACCGTGTGTCACCAGGGGTGTCGCTGTGTGTCACCAGGGGATGGCACCGTGTGTACCCAGGGGTGGCACTGTGTGTCCCCAGGAGTGTCACAGTGTGTCATCAGGGATTGTCAGTGTGTGTCACCAGGGGTGGCACCGCGTGTCCCCAGGAGTGTCACAGTGTGTCATCAGGGATTGTCAGTGTGTGTCACCAGGGGTGGCACTGTGTGTCACCAGGGATTGTCTGTGTGTGTCACCAGGGGATGGCACCGTGTGTACCCAGGGGATGGCACTGTGTGTACCCAGAGAATGTGATGGTGTGTCCCCAGGGGTGGCACCGTGGTCACCAGGAGTGTCACTGTGTGTCCCCTGAGCTGTCACTGTGTGTCACCAGGGATGGCACCGTGTGTCCCCGGGGAATGTCACCCTGTGTCCCCAGGGAATGTGATCTTGTGTCCCATGGGGATGTCAGTGTGTGTCCCCAGGCCGTGTCCCTCTGTGTCCCCAGGGAGTGTCACCATTTGTCCCCAGGCCGTGTCCCTCTGTGTCCCCAGGGAATGTGACGTGTGGCTCTCCCTCGGTGGCTTCCACGAGCGTGGCCAGGACTGGGACAGCACCGGCCGCATCTACAACTGTCACCTGCTGCTGGACAGCTCGGGTGGGACACGGCCTTCCTGAGCCCTGCGCCCCCTCGTGCCACCCCGCGTCCCCCAGGCCTGTGTCCCCAACCCTTGGCTGTCCCCGTGTCCCCACATGTGCCACCATTCCCAACCCCCCTGTGGCTGTCCCTGGGGTGGCTGTCCCCAGGCGCGCTGGTGGCTGTCCCTGGTGTCCCCAACCCCCGTGGCTGTCCCCAACCCCGTGGTGGCTGTCCCCAGTGTCCCCAACCCCGTGGTGGCTGTCCCCAGTGTCCCCAACCCCCGTGGCTGTCCCCAGGCGCGCTGGTGGCTGTCCCCATGTCCCCAACCCCCGTGGCTGTCCCCAGGCGCGCTGGTGGCTGTCCCCATCTCCCCAACCCCCGTGGCTGTCCCCAGGCGCGCTGGTGGCTGTCCCCATGTCCCCAACCCCCGTGGCTGTCCCCAGGCGCGCTGGTGGCTGTCCCCATGTCCCCAACCCCCGTGGCTGTCCCCAGGCGCGCTGGTGGCTGTCCCCATGTCCCCAACCCCCGTGGCTGTCCCCAGGCGCGCTGGTGGCTGTCCCCATGTCCCCAACCCCCGTGGCTGTCCCCAGGCGCGCTGGTGGCTGTCCCCATGTCCCCAACCCCCGTGGCTGTCCCCAGGCGCGCTGGTGGCTGTCCCCATGTCCCCAACCCCCGTGGCTGTCCCCAGGCGCGCTGGTGGCCGCGTACCGCAAGCTGCACCTGTTTGACGCGGCGCTGCCGGGGGCGCCGGCGCTGTGCGAGAGCTCCTTCACCAACCCTGGCCGGGAGCTGCTGCCCCCCATCGACACCCCCGTGGGCAAGGTACGGCCCTGCCCCTGTCCCCTGCTGTCCCCAAGTGTCCCCAAGTGTCCCCTGCCCTCGCTGATCCCCGGTGTTCCCAGAGAAACCTGGGGCTGGCCGTGTGTCACAGCCTGAGCTGGCCCTGCCCCAATCCTAACCCAGCCCTGAACCCAACCCTGACCCCACAATGCCCAGGGTGTCCCCAAGTGTCCCTGGGTGTCCCCAAGTGTCCCCAAGTGTCCCTGGGTGTCCCCTGCCCTCACTGACCCCGGTATTCCCAGAGAAAACCTGGGATTGGCCGAGTGCTGTGGCCTGTGGGTCCTGGAGCTGGCCCTGTCCTGACCCTCACCCCTGACCCCCCATGGCCCCGGAGTGTCCCCAGCTGTCCCCAATGTCCCCTCCCTGTTGGGTGTCCCCTGCCCTCACTGACCCCGGTATTCCCAGAGAAACCTGGGATTGGCCGAGTGCTGTGGCCTGTGGGTCCTGGAGCTGGCCCTGTCCTGACCCTCACCCCTGACCCCCCATGGCCCCAGGGTGTCCCCAGCTGTCCCCAATGTCCCCTCCCTGTCCCCCAGGTGGGGCTGGCCGTGTGCTATGACCTGCGTTTCCCGGAGCTGGCCCAGGCCCAGGGCTGTCCCCAGTGTCCCCAGCTGTCCCCAATGTCCCCTCCCTGTCCCCCAGGTGGGGCTGGCCGTGTGCTATGACCTGCGTTTCCCGGAGCTGGCCCAGGCCCTGCGCGGGGCCGGTGCCCAAATCCTGACCTACCCCTCGGCCTTCACCGTGCCCACCGGAGCCGCGCACTGGGAGGTGAGGGGGCACCCCGGGGGGCTTGGGGACACCCCAGGGGGCTTGGGGACACCCCCCGGGGGGCTTGGGGACACCCCGGGGGGCTTGGGGACACCCCCGGGGGGCTTGGGGACACCCACAGGGGTGTTGCAGACATTCCGGGAGGGGTCTGGGGGCACCCTGGGGGGAGTGGGGACACCCACACCCTGAGGAGGGTTTGGGGTGCCTGTGCCATTGAGCGCCCCCCATGTCCCCTGGTTCTGTCCCCTGGGTGACACCGCTGTCCCTGCAGGTGCTGCTGTGTGCCCATGCCCCCTGTGTCCCTCTCGGTGACACCAGTGTCCCTTTCCAGTGACACTGCTGTCCCCTCAGGTGCTGCTGTGTGCCTGTGTCATTGAGTGTCCCCTGGGTGACAGCACTGTCCCCTCAAGTGCTGCTGTGTGCCCGTGTCATTGAGTGTCCCCCGGGTGACACCGCTGTCCCCCTGGGTGACAGCACGGGGCACCCCGGGGGGCTTGGGGACCCCCCAGGGGGCTTGGGGACACCCCCCGGGGGGCTTGGGGACACCCCGGGGGGCTTGGGGACACCCCCGGGGGGGCTTGGGGACACCCCGGGGGGCTTGGGGACACCCCCGGGGGGGCTTGGGGACACCCCGGGGGGCTTGGGGACACCCCCGGGGGGCTTGGGGACACCCACAGGGGTGTTGCAGACATTCCGGGAGGGGTCTGGGGGCACCCTGGGGGGAGTGGGGACACCCACACCCTGAGGAGGGTTTGGGGTGCCTGTGCCATTGAGCGCCCCCCATGTCCCCTGGTTCTGTCCCCTGGGTGACACCGCTGTCCCTGCAGGTGCTGCTGTGTGCCCATGCCCCCTGTGTCCCTCTCGGTGACACCAGTGTCCCTTTCCCGTGACACTGCTGTCCCCTCAGGTGCTGCTGCGTGCCTGTGTCCCCCCATGTCCCCATGGGTGACACCGCTGTCCCCCTGGGTGACAGCACTGTCCCCTCAAGTGCTGCTGTGTGCCCGTGTCATTGAGTGTCCCCCGGGTGACACCGCTGTCCCCCTGGGTGACAGCACTGTCCCGTAGGTGCTGCTGTGTGCCTGTGACCCCTGTGCCCCCCATGTCCCCTTGGTGCCACCACTGTCCCCGCAGGTGCTGTGTGTGCCCATGCCATCAAGTGTCCCCCTGGGTGACACCACTGTCCCCTCAAGTGCTGCTGTGTGCCCGTGCCATCGAGTGTCCCCCTTGGTGACACCGCTGTCCCCTCAGATGCTGCTGCATGCCCATACCCCCCCATGTCCCCTGGGTGACACCGCTGTCCCCGCAGGTGCTGTGTGCGCCATGTCCCCCTGGGTGACAGCACTGTCCCCTCAGGTGCTGCTGCGTGCTCATGCCCCCTGTGCCCCCCATGTCCCCTTGGTGCCACCACTGTCCCCACAGGTGCTGTGTGTTCCCATGCCCCCCATGTCCCCTGGGTGACACCGCTGTCCCCTCAGGTGCTGCTGCGTGCCCCCATGCCCCCTGTGCCCCCCATGTCCCCCTGGGTGACACTGCTGTCCCCTCAGGTGCTGCTGCGTGCCCGTGCCATCGAGTGCCAGTGCTACGTGGTGGCCGCGGCGCAGACCGGCCGCCACAACGCCGGCCGCGCGTCCTTCGGCCACTCGCTGGTGGCCGACCCCTGGGGCACCGTGGTGGCCCAGTGCCACGAGGGGCCGGGGCTGTGCCTGGCCCACATCGACCTGGCCTACCTGGAGCAGGTGCGGAGGGAGCTGCCCGTGCACGGCCACCGCCGCGGGGACATCTACGGGGCCCTGCCGGGGACACCGGGGACGTGACGGCGCCGCTCGGCCAAACCCGCCTGGAAATTGTACTGGGTTTGCTCTTCTGTGCCCAGAGTGGGATGGCACCACGTGTGCCCCCTTTCTGTTTGGGGGTGTCAAATCTCCATCAATATAGCCCTGAATCGGCCCCAAATCTGCACCAATTCAGCCCCAAATCTGCACCAATTCAGCCCAAAGTCAGCTCCAAATCAGCCCCAAATCTGCACCAATTCAGCCCCAAATCTGCCCTTTTATTCCCAAAATTGAATGGTAGAATGTGTCTCCCTTTTCTTTATTGGGGGTCCCAAATCTCCCCCAAATTAGTCCCACCTCTGCATTAATTCAGCCCCAAATATTCCCCCAAATCAGTCCCAAATCTGCACCAATTCAGCCCAAAATCAGCCCCAAATCTGCACCAATCCAGCCCCAAATCTGCACCAATTCAGCCCTAAATCAGCCCCAAATCTGCACCAATCCAGCCCCAAATCTGCACCAAGTCAGCCCCAAATCTGTACCAAGTCAGCCCAAAGTCAGCCCCAAATTAGCCCCAAGTCTGCACCAATTCAGCCCCAAATCTGCACCAATTCAGCCCCAAATCAGCACCAAATCAGCACCAATTCAGCCCCAAATCTGCACCAATTCAGCCCCAAATCAGTCCCAAGTCAGCCCAAAGTCAGCCCCAAATCAGTCCCAAATCTGCCCTTTTAGTCCCAAAATGGAACGGCACAACATGTCCCCCCTTTCTCTTTGTGGGTGTCAAATTTCCATCAATTCAACCCCAAATCTGCACCAATTCAGCCCCAAATCTGCCCTTTTATTCCCAAAATTGAATGGTAGAATGTGTCTCCCTTTTCTTTATTGGGGGTCCCAAAAGCCCCAAATCTGCACCAATTCAGCCCCAAATCTGCCCTTTTGTCCCCAAAATGGAATGGAACAATGTGTCCCCCCCTTTTCTTTATTGGGGGTCCCAAATCAGCCCCAAATCTCCAACTCGGCCCTAAATCAACCCCAAATGTCCCACAAATCAGCCCCAAATCTCCATTAATTCAGCCCCAAATATTCCCCCAAATCTCCATCAACTCAGCCCTAAATCAGCCCCAAATCTGCCCTTTTTATCCCCAAAACTGAATGGCACAATGTGTCCTCCCTGCTCTTTTTGGGGTCCCAATTCAGCCCCAAATTTGCTCCAATTCTGCCTCAATTTAGTCCAAAACTGACCCTGAATCTGCCCCAAATCTGCTCTAATTCACCCCAAAACGTGCATCAATTCAACCCCAAATCTTCCCCAATTCACCCCAAATTTGCACTGAATCAGCACTTTTGTCCCCAAAAGGGATTTCTTTTTTGGGGGGGGGTTCCCATTTTTTGGGGGGTGTTCTGAGGGGAGGAATTTCTTTTTATTGAAATTTGAAAAATACAAAAATCCCAGAAAATTACCTCAAAGTGTGGAGGAATTTTGGGATGGGAGGGATTGGGGACAACCCTGAAACCCCCAAGTGCTGGGTGGGAATGAGGGAAAAAACAAGGAAAATGGGAAAAAACCTTCATCCCTGTTGGGTTTTGGGGGAAAATGGGGATTTTTTTGGGGGGGGAACAGGGATTTTGAGGAGGAAAATGGGAATTTGGGGGAAATTGCCATTTGCTTTTTGTCGTTTTTAATGGATATAAAAGAGGGAAAATGAGGGGAAAAACGTGGAAAACACAAAGAAGAGGAATTTGATAAGGAAATTGAGGAATTGATGGGGAAATTGAGGAATTCTGGAATATTCCACACCCCCAATCCCCAAATCCCAGCACCAATGGGATTTTTTGCCTTTTCATCACCATTTTTAATGGATACAAAAGAAAAGAAAATAGGGAAAAAACATGGAAAACATAAAGAGAATGAGGAATTGACAGGGAAAAGTGAGGAATTCTGGAATATTCCACACCCCCAATCCCCAAATCCCAGCACCAATGGGATTTTTTGCCTTTTCATCACCATTTTTAATGGATACAAAAGAAAAAACGAGAGGAAAAACACGAGGAGAACCCATCAGGACCCCAAAAGCACCAAATCCTGGAATATCCCCCAGCTCCACCCCAGAACATTCCATTGTTCCTGGGCTTCCCACACCTCAAATCCCCAATTCTGACTGCGCTGCACCAATGGGATTTTTGCCTTTTTCTCACCATTTTTAATGGATAAAAAAGAAAACAGGGAGAAAACATGGAAAACACAAGGAGGAACTGACAGGGAAAAGTGAGGAATTCCGGAATATTCCACACCCCCAATCCCCAAATCCCAGCGTGTCGCACCAATGGGATTTTTGCCTTTTCATCACCATTTTTAATGGATACAAAAGAAAAAACAGGAGGGAAAACACAAGGAGAACCCATCAGGACCCCCAAAAAGCTCCCGGAATCCCCCACACCTCCACCCCTCCCCAAATCCGTGAGCGGGCACCTCCGCGGAAGAGGAAAAAAAAACCAAAAAATCCCGGGAAAAAAAACCAAAAAAAAACCCCCAAAAACTGGGGGTGGATCCCTCAGGGAGCCGTGTGGAGCATCAAGTTCCTGAGGAGTTTCTGGCGGCCCAGCTCGTAATCCTCCTCGTCCACGTTGACCAGCAGCTTGATGGCCTCGTGGCCCACGGCCTGTTTGAGCGAGTCCGTGATGAAGACGCCCTTGAGGGCCTCCAGGAGGGAGCCGTTGATGTAATCCCGCCAGAAGGCGTCGAGGTAGGTGAGCTCCGAGAATTTGATGTCGCAGATGATGGAGCCCAAATCCCGGGATTTCAGGATGGTGTTGGCCTGGTTGAAGCGCTCGAACTGGCGCTCCAGCGGGTCCTGCTTGTTGGAGAAGACGTTGCCGTGCAGGGCGGAGTCGTGCTGGCAGTACTCGGCACGCACGCGCAGGCGGATGTCTGGGGGGGGGAAATGGGGTTAGGGGGTGTGGGATTGGGGTTCAAGGGGTTTGGGATTGGGGAATGTGGGGTTTAGGGGGTTTGGGGTTGAGGGGAATGTGGGGGTTGGGGGCAATGTGGATCCCAATCCCAATCCCATATTCCCAATCCCACAATCCCGATCCCAATCCCCCCTCACCACAGGTCTGTTTCTCCCTGGGGTTTGGGGTTGGGGGAATGTGGGGTTTAGGGGTTTGGGATTGAGGGGAATGTGGGGTTTAGGTATGGGATTTAAGGGGTTTGGGATTGGGGGGAAAATGTGGGGTTTAAGAGGTTTGGGATTGGGGAGATATGTGGGGTTTAGGGGGTTTGAGATTGAGGGGAACGTGGGGCTTAGGGGATTTGGGAATGGGGGAATGTGCAGTTTAGGGATTGGGGGAAATGTGGGAAATTTTCCCAGTCTTGGGATGTCTCATGCATTGGGGATCCCAATCCTAATTCTGTATTCCCAATACCAAATCCCCATTTACCGCAGGTCTGTTTCTCCCTGGGGATCCCAATCCCAATCCCAATCCCAATCCCAATCCCGATCCCCCTCACCGCAGGTCTGTTTCTCCCCGGGGATCCCAATCCCAATCCCACATTCCCAATCCCACATTTCCGATCCCAAACCCCCCTCACCGCAGGTCTGTTTCTCCTTGGGGTCGGGGGTCGCTGACTTCCTGCGTTTCCGTTGGCTCCCGAGGAGGCTCCGGGCCCGGCCCGGGCGCTTGGGGCCCAGCTGGGGCCCCCCCGGGGGGCAGCACAGGGACGGGTGGGGGGCAGGCACTGGGACACGGGGAGAGATTGGGTCACTGAAGGGGAATGTGGGGGTTGGGGGCAATGTGGATCCCAATCCCAATCCCATATTCCCAATCCCACAATCCCGATCCCAATCCCCCCTCACCACAGGTCTGTTTCTCCCTGGGGATCCCAATCCCAATCCCCAATCCCAAACCCCCTCACCGCAGGTCTCTTTCTCCCTGGGGATCCCAATCCCCTATTCCCATATTCCCAATCCCAATCCCACAATCCCAATCCCGATGCCCCTCACCGCAGGTCTGTTTCTCCCTGGGGATCCCAATCCCAATCCCAATCCCAATCCCAATCCCAATCCCAATCCCAATCCCAATCCCGATCCCCCTCACCGCAGGTCTGTTTCTCCCCGGGGATCCCAATCCCAATCCCACATTCCCAATCCCACATTCCCGATCCCAAACCCCCCTCACCGCAGGTCTGTTTCTCCTTGGGGTCGGGGGTCGCTGACTTCCTGCGTTTCCGTTGGCTCCCGAGGAGGCTCCGGGCCCGGCCCGGGCGCTTGGGGCCCAGCTGGGGCCCCCCCGGGGGGCAGCACAGGGACGGGTGGGGGGCAGGCACTGGGAACAGGGGGGCACAAATGGGTCAGGGACCCCAAATCCAACCCCACAGACCCCAAATCCATCCAGGGAACCCCAAATCCATCCATTAGGTCTGGGCACAGTCCCCCAAACCCAGAGCGCTGAGAGGCTCCGGGGTCGGGAACTTTGGGATGACCCCAAATGGGAGTGATGATCCCAAAGGGGGGTGAAGATCCCAAATACAGGGACGGGTGGGGGGCAGGCACTGGGACACGGGGAGAGATTGGGTCACTGACCCCAAATCCAACCCCACAGACCCCAAATCCATCCCAAATCCACCCCTGGGGGCAGCACAGGGACAGGTGGGGGGCAGGCACTGGGACACGGGGGGCATAAATGGGTTAGGGACCCCAAATCCATCCAGGGAACCCCAAATCCATCCAGGGAACCCCAAACCCATCCATTAGGTCTGGGCACAGTCCCCCAAACCCAGAGCGCTGAGAGGCTCCGGGGTCGGGAACTTTGGGATGACCCCAAATGGGAGTGATGATCCCAAAGGGGGGTGAAGATCCCAAATGAGGGTGCATGACCCCAAAAGAGGGTGATGATCCCAAATGGGGGGGTGACAATGATCCCATGGAGAGCTGGTGACCCCAAAAGGGGACGGTGACCCCAAAGGGTGACGATGACCCCAAAATGGGGTGACAATGACCCCAAAAGGGGACGGTGACCCCAAAGGGTGACGATGATCCCAAATGGGGGTGACAATGACCTCAAAAGGGGACAGTGACCCCAAAGGGTGACAGTGACCCCAAACGGGGGTGACAGTGACCCCGAGGGGTCCGTACCTGATTTGTGGGGGTGGCCGAGGCCGGGCGGGGCCCCCCCGGGCGCGCGGGGGGTGACGTAGCGAATGGACGTCTCCTCCAGGTACTTGTCCACCAGGTCCGGGCACACTGGGAACGGCACAGGAACGTCACGGGGACGGCACGGGGACGTACCTCAAAAGGGGACGGTGACCCCAAAGGGTGACGACGACCCCAAAAGGGGGTGACAGTGACCCCGAGGGGCCCGTACCTGATTTGTGGGGGTGGCCGAGGCCGGGCGGGGCCCCCCCGGGCGCGCGGGGGGTGACGTAGCGGATGGACGTCTCCTCCAGGTACTTGTCCACCAGGTCCGGGCACACTGGGAACGGGAACGGCACGGGGACGTCACGGGGACGTCATGGGATCGTCACGGGGACGCCACGGGGATGGCAGATGATGGTGTGACCCCAATAGCCCCACACGCTGTGGCAGTGACCCCATATATCGCGATATATCGTGACATATCGCGCCAGGCACTCACCCGGGCGCTGCCTCTTGAGGCTGACTAGGGCAGCAGGTCATGGCAGGTGACGATGTCACCCCAATACCCCCATACACCGTGACAGTGACCCCATATATCGCGATATATCACGACATATCACGACAGGCACTCACCGGGGCGCCGCCTCTTGAGGCTGATGCAGGGCAGCAGGTCGTGGTGGGTGACGATGTCACCCCGATACCCCCATACCCTGATACACTGACCCCGTATATCGCGATATATCGCGACATATCACGACAGGCACTCACCAGGGCGCCGCCTCTTGAGGCTGACGTAGGGCAGCAGGTCGTGGCGGGTGATGATGTCACCCCAATACCCACATACCCTGACACACTGACCCCGTATATCGCGATATATCGCGCCAGGCACTCACCAGGGCGCCGCCTCTTGAGGCTGACGTAGGGCAGCAGGTCATGGTGGGTGATGATGTCACCCCAATATCCCCATACCCTGACACACTGACCCCGTATATTGCGATATATCGTGACATATCGCACCAGGCACTCACCGGGGCGCTGCCTCTTGAGGCTGACGCAGGGCAGCAGGTCGTGGCGGGTGACAGTGACCCCATATATCGCGATATATCGTGACATATCGCGCCAGGCACTCACCGGGGCGCCGCCTCTTGAGGCTGACGTAGGGCAGCAGGTCGTGGCGGGTGATGATGTCACCCCGATACCCCCATACACCGTGACAGTGACCCCATATATCGCGATATATCGTGACATATCGCGGCAGGCACTCACCGGGGCGCCGCCTCTTGAGGCTGACGTAGGGCAGCAGGTCGTGGCGGGTGATGATGCGCAGCAGCTGCAGCAGCTGCCGCAGGTTGCTCTCGTCGCAGCGGCCCTGGCGCTCCAGGGCCAGCAGGAAGTCGCGGCCCGAGCGGATGCGGCCGCGCTCGGCCTCGTCCAGCACGTCCACGAAGAGGAAGGAGAGCACGCGCACGTCGCGGTGCGTCAGCTGCGCGCCCACGATGTCGAACATGCGGTGCAGCGAGTACAGCCCCTGCTCGCGCTCGCCCGGCTCCTCGGGCCACGGCACCGCGCCCGCGCTGCCGGCAGCACCGCCAGCGCCCGCGCCGCGCTTCCGGCCCGCCATGGGCACTGTCAGTGGGACATGGCACCACTGCCACTGTCACTGCCACGCCTCCGGCCTGCCATGGGCACCTGGGGACATGGGGACAGTGGGACATGGCACTGCTGGCACTGTCACTGCCATGCTTCCAGCCCACCATGGGCACCTGGGGACACGGGGACACAGGGTCAGTGGGACATGGCACTGCTGGCACTGCCATGCTTCTGGCCCACCATGGGCACTTGGGGACACGGGGACATGGGGTCAGTGGGACACGGGGTCAGTGGGACATGGCACCACTGGCACTGCCAGCGCTGCACTTCTGACCCGCCATGGGCACCTGGGGACACGGGGACATGGGGTCAGTGCCACACGGGGACATGGGACACGGGGTCAGTGGGACATGGCACCACTGGCACTGCCAGCGCTGCACTTCTGACCCGCCATGGGCACCTGGGGACACGGGGACATGGGGTCAGTGCCACACGGGGACATGGGACACGGGGTCAGTGGGACATGGCACCACTGGCACTGTCACTGCCATGCCTCTGGCCCACCATGGGCACCTGGGGACAGGGGGACATGGGACACGGGGTCAATGGGACATGGCACCGCTGCCACTGCCGTGCTTCCGGCCCGCCATGGGCACCTGGGGACAGGGGGACACGGGGTCAGTGGGACATGGCACCACTGGCAATGCCATGCTTCTGACCTGCCATGGGCACCTGAGGACAGGGGGACACAGGGACATGGAGTCAGTGGGACATGGCACCACTGGCACTGCCAGCGCCGTGCTTCCGGCCCGCCATGGGCACCTGGGATCACGGGGACATGCGACACGGGGTCAGTGAGACATGGCACCACTGGCACTGCCAGCCTGCCATGGGCACCTGGGGACACGGGGACACAGGACACGGGGTCAGTGGGACATGGTACCACTGCCACCGCCACGCTTCTGACCTGCCATGGGCACCTGAGGACAGGGGGACACAGGGACATGGGGACAGTGGGACATGGCACCGCTGCCACGCTTCCAGCCCGCCGTGGGCACTTGGGGACAGGGGGACACGGGGTCAGTGGGACATGGCACCACTGTCACAGCCAGCGCCATGCCTCCGGCCCGCCATGGGCACTTGGGGACAATGGGACAATGGGACACGGGGTCAGCAGGGGGATCCAGGACTGAGCCTGCACTGCTGGCACTGCCATCCTGTGGGGTCCCAACCCAAATCCCCGGGGTTTCAGCCAGGATCCCGACCCCACTGCCAAGGATTTTCCAGTGGGATCCTGACCCCAACCCTGGGGATTTTCCATTGGAACCCACTCAGGATCCTGACCCCAATCCCAGGGGTTTTCCTGTGGGATCCCAATCACAATCCTGGGGTTTTCCATCAGGATCCCAACCCCAATCCCAGGATTTTCTATCAGGATCCTGACCTCAATCCTGGGGATTTTCTGTTGGAATGCACTCAGGATCCCAACCCAAATCCCTGGGGTTTTCCATCAGGATCTCAACCCTAATCCCAGGGATTTTCCTCAGGATCCCAATCCTGGGGATTTTCCATCAGGATCCAGACCCCAATCCCAGAGATTTTCCATCAGGATCCCGACCCCAATCCCAGAGATTTTCCATCAGGATCCTGACCTCAATCCTGGGGATTTTCTGCTGGAATCCACTCAGGATCCCAACCCAAATCCCTGGGGTTTTCCATCAGGATCTCAACCCTAATCCCAGGGATTTTCCTCAGGATCCCAATCCTGGGGATTTTCCATCAGGATCCCAACCCCAATCTCTGCATTTTTCCATCAGGATCCCAACCCCAATCTCTGCATTTTTCCATCAGGATCCCGACCCCAATCCTGGGGATTTTCCAGCAGGATTTTGCTCAGGACCCAGCCCTGGCTCCGGCCTTTCCCTGGATACAATCTCCCAAACAAAGGGAAAACATCGGGATCAGGACAGGAACCCCCACCCACCCCCAATTCCCTGCCAGGCTCCTCTCCAAGGAGGAAATTCCCAGAAAACCCCTGGAAAAAACAACCTGGCCCCAGCTCCAGGGGGAAACAGGAATGGGAAGCACCTGGTGCCGTGATCCTGCTTTTTTTTTTAGGGAGTTTTCCTTAAAATGTCTCCTTTTTCCCTGAATTTGGGAGGTGAATTGTACAAAAATTGGGAAAAATTCTTGGATTCGTCAGCACCGACCCCCCTGGAATGATCCTGGATGGTTTTCCTCCTGTGGAAGTCAGAAAAAAGCTGGGATTTGTTGTTGTGCTCCCTGAAAATCCAAAGAAATCTGGGAAATTTTTTCTTTCCTAAAGAAATCTGGGAAAAATGAGGTTTTATGGAAGTGCTGAAAAGGGAAATGTTGGGAATTAAACTTCAAAAAAAAAAAAAATCCCGAAAAATTGTTAAATTCATTTCCAAGCAGGGAATTCTGACCGTGGAAGAGATCCTGAGATTCCCATGGTTCCCAAAATCCCAAAATCCACAGGGGTGGGAGGTGGAAATCCCAAAAATCCACGGATTTTCCTCAGAAAGAGCAGCAAAATCTCCCAGAAAAACACAAGAATCCCTTGGAAAATCCTTCCCACCCCCTCTGGAGGCTTTTCCCAGGAAGAGAATTCCGGGAGCATTCAAATAATTTCGGGATAAACGGGAAAAACGAGTTCCTGGAGCTTCCCAGGGCTCAGCCCCGCGGGATCCCTGCGGATATTTTGGGATTTTTCCCACTAAATCCAGGCCAGAATTCCACATTATCCCAGAAAACCCCAGCCTGGGTGGGGAGAAAGGCCCAAATTCCCAATTTTTGGGTGAATTTTCCGGGGGAATTGGACACGAGGGAGACTCCAGGTGAACTTTTCCCCCCCAGTTCCCGGGGACAGGAACAATTCCCAAACAACTGGGAAAAAACCCCACAAAAATTGGGATTAATCCCGAATTTTCCTCTTTTTTCTGATGAATTCCCCCTCCTAAATCCAGCGGGAATTCCCAAAAATCCATTCCCAGCCCCAGTGAAGTGGATTTTTGGGAAGAAGAGGAGCTCCAGAGGCTGGGGAGGAGGAGGAGGAGGAGGAGGAAGCTCCTGACAGAACATTCCACAGAAAACCGGCTCTTCCAGGGGCTGCAGGTCGGGAATTTGGGAATTCCCAGCCCTGGAACCAGCTGGGAATTGGGAATTTAATTCCTGAGCCTCTCCAGATCCATCAGGAGCTTCTGGATCCATCCCAGGATCCATCCCAGACCTCTCCAGCTCCATCAGGAGCTTCCGGATCCATCCCAAACTTCCCTGGATCCGTCCCAAACCCCTTTAGATCCATCAGGATCCTCTGAATCCACCCTGAGCCTCTCTGGATCCTTCTTGAACCTCCCCAGCTCCATCAGGACCCTCTGGATCCATCCCTGCATCCATCCTTGGATCCATCAGGATCCATCCCAGAGCTCTCCAGATCCATCCTGACCTTCCATGGATCCATCCCAAACCCCTCTGGATCCACCCTGAACCTCTCCGGATCCACCATGACCCTCTGGATCCATCCCTGCATCCATCCTGACTCTGTCCAGCACCATCAGGACCCTCTGGATCCATCCCAAACCCCTTGAGATCCATCCTGAACCTCTCTGGATCCATCCTTGGATCCATCAGGATCCTTTGGATCCACCCTGAACCTCTCCAGCTCCATCAGGACCCTCTGGATCCATCCCAAACCCCTCTGGATCCACCCTGAACTTCTCCACATCCATCAGGACCTCCTGGATCCATCCCAGAGCTCTCCAGATCCATCAGGATCTTCTGGATCCATCCCAAACCCCTTTGGATCCATCCCTGGATCCATCCCGAACCTCTCCAGATCCATCAGAACCTCCTGGATCCATCCCGAACCCCTCTGGATCCACCCTGAACTTCTCCACATCCATCAGGACCTCCTGGATCCATCCCAGAGCTCTCCAGATCCCTGCCCCACCCCGGACAAATCCCAAACCCGACCCCAAACCCGACCCCGGACCCACCTCGGCCGTGCCCGATCGCGGCTCCGGGGCGTCCTCGGCGCTCTCCGATCCCTTTTTTCCTCCTCCTTGCTTTTCTTTCCCAACAAATCCCCCCAAAACCAAAACAAAATAATCCCCAAAGTTCCAGAGGCCGGGATCGCTGTCAGTCCTTGCCGGAAAACTCCGGATTTTATCCCCCCCACCCCCAAAAAAAAAAAACCTTTTTAAATTATTTTTAATTTCCTAATTAATAATTTATCGAGGAAAAGCGTCGCCCTTAAGATCCGACCCCAAACCCACCTCGGCCGTGCCCGATCGCGGCTCCGGGGCGTCCTCGGCGCTCTCCGATCCCTTTTTTCCTCCTCCTTGCTTTTCTTTCCCAACAAATCCCCCCAAAACCAAAACAAAATAATCCCCAAAGTTCCAGAGGCCGGGATCGCTGTCAGTCCTTGCCGGAAAACTCCGGGCTTTTTTCCCCCCCCCCCCCCCCAAAAAAAAAAAACCTTTTTAAATTATTTTTAATTTCCTAATTAATAATTTATCGAGGAAAAGCGTCGCCCTTAAGTCATGGCCGGTTCCAGGGCGAGCATTCCCGGGGCAGGAATTCCCTGGATCGCGGATTTCTCGCGGGTTGTGCTCGCTCAAAGCCAAAAGCGCAATAAAAAACCCAAAAAAAGCTCGCTCGGCTGAAGAAATCCTCGGAATTTCATCGCGCTCCTGCTGCGCCTCAAACCCCGGGATCGCCTGACCTCGGGAGGAGCCGAAATCCCGGGGAAAAAACGGGAAAAGCGCTGTTAAATAAACAAAATACAAAAAGAAAAAAACCAAAAAACTCCGATTTGGCCGCGATTTCGGCTGAAATCGGCCCCAAATTCCAGCGAGAACGAACCAAAAGCGGGGGCCCTCCCCGTTAAAGGCCCTCAGAGCCCCGGTTCAGCCCCGGGAAGGGCCCAAAAAGCTCCGGGCAAGGCCCGGTCCGGCCCCGCCGAGCCCCGAAGGCCGCGGGGAGGCCCCGGTAAGGCCGCAAAAGGCCCCGAGCAGGCCCCGCGTCTCTCCCGGGGAGGCTCCGCTCAGGCCCCGGGGAGGCTCCGGCGGCGGCAGCGCCGCGAGGAGCGGCGGGGGGAGCGGCGGGGCCCCCCCTGCGGCCCGTCCCAGCCCGCCGAGCGCGGGGGCCCCTCCCGGCCCCTCACGGCCCCTCAGGGCCGGCCCAGCCCCGGCGCCGCCATCTTGGCTCCGTCCGCTCCGCTCCCCGCTCCCCGCGGGCGGCTCCGCCCTGACGCAACTTCCGGCAGGTCGAGGCCACGCCTCCTCCCCCGCGGCGGAGCCGCGCCCACATCCGGGCACCCCGCGCGCCCGCTGCGGCTTCACGCCCATAGGGAAACACGGGGAGGGCGGCGCCATGTTGGGTGAGGGCAACGAGGCGGCTACATCCGGGTTACCGCCGTTGGCTTCAGCGCTGTTGGTTAGCACGGGGCGGGCGCCATCTTGAGTGAGGGCAGCCTGGCAGCGCGGGGCCGCGTGGCGGCGCGGGCGCCATCTTGGAAAATGTGAGGCGGAGGCGCCGCCATCTTAACTGAGGGCAGCAAGGGGGGGGTCCGGGGGGGTTTGAGGAGATTTTGAGGATTTTTGGGGTTTTTTTGGGGATTTTTTTTTTTGAGAGTGAAGGAAGGGGTGAGGAGGGAAGGGTGGAAATGGGGGCAGGGGGGCTCCTGCGAGGGT